CGAGGTCCTTTGGAAGTCACGAGGCCGATGCCCCTTCTGACAACCAAAGCAACCTTTAATTTAGGTACATGGAATGCTCGTACAATGTGGGAGACCGGGAGATTCATGCAAATTCCTGCAGAAATGAAAAGATACAACTTGGAGATTCTTGGAATCACATTGGAAACACATTAGACGCAGGTTGGACAACAAAGGATAGCTTCAGGAGAGCTGCTGTTATATAGTCCGGCCATGAGGAATAAAATGCTCCACATAAACAAGGAGTTGCACTGATGCTATCCAAACAAGCACAAGAAGCACTTATAGGATGGGGATCTCATGGACCAAGAATCATCAAAGCCTCCTTCAAAACGAAGAAAGAGGGCATTACAATGAATGTCATCCAATGCTATGCGTCTACCAACGACTACAATGAAGACGTTAAAGATCAGTTCCACGATAGGCTGCAGTCAATCGTCGAGAAGTGCCCAACATAGGACCTGACCATTCTGATGGGAGATTTAAATGCCAAGGTTGGAATGGACAACACCGGATATGAAGAGATCATGGGACGACATGGACTGGGAGAAAGGAAAGAAATTGGTGAGAGGTGTGCAAACCTATGTGCCTTCAATAAACTGGTCATAGGCAGCACTATATTCCCACATAAACGCATTCACAAAACCACATGGACTTCACTGGATCATACTGCGCAAAACCAAATCGACCATATCTACATCAACAACAATTTCAGGCGGACGATGGAGGACGTGAGAACCAAGAGAGGAGCTGATATAGCATCAGATCATCACTTGCTGATCGCCAAGATGAAATTGAATCTCAAGAATAACCGGACAATGGGGCGGACAACAGCACAAAAGTTTAATACGGCTTTTCTTCGGGATACTGACAAACTCAACAAATTCAAGATAGTCCTCAGCAATAGCCGATTTCCATCGGAAGTCACGAGGCTGATGTCCCTTCTGACAAACAGAGCAAACATTTATTTAGGAGAAGGACGTGAGAACCAAGAGAGGAGTTGATATGCCGTCAGATCACTACAAGAAACACAACCACAAGAAATGCATCACTCTTGATACACTATATAAAATTCAGAAAAGAAGGAACAAGAAGGCAGCAATCACTATCAGCCGAACAAGAACAAAGAGTGCCAAGGCACAAGTTGAATTTACAGAGGTAAGCAAGCAAAAGATTCGCCAAACGTAAAGATGTGGAAGATCTAGCAACGAAGACCGAAAAGGTTGTAAGAGAAAGAAACATCAGACAATTGTATGATACCACAAAGAAGCTCGCTGGAAATTATCGTAAACCAGAACAACCAGTGAAAAGCAAGAAAGGCAAAGGAATCACCAACATCAGAGAACAGCAAAACAGGAGGACTGATACAAAAATGAAAATATGATATATTGAGCAACTCAAACTGAGCTTATAATATTCAATTAGCGAACAAGTTTATAGATGAATCCTATTAGCTGTATTTAATAAAAACACCGAATAATGTCACGACAGTCTTCAAGCTGATTTCTCGTCAGTTAATAGTGTTTTATTACAAATTCAATAATAATGTACACATTTTCTGTTCTTACTACATATACACACTCCTATCTACGTGGTTGCACTTTCATATTAAACCCCCTGAATTTTGTTATGATTTCATCAAAACAATGGATGTAGATTGGTTCCTTGAGTGTTAATTTATTCAGCTTACCGTTTCATTTAAACTATATGCATTGAATCCGTTTCTCATAAAAGTTTAATTTTTGACTGATAATAAACAGATCAATTAGATTTATTTAGACACTCAAATATTTAATCTGCAGAACGTGTTTCCCTCCGTTAAATAATTCAGTGGAAGTAAATCGATTTCAACTCAGTTCAACAATTCCAAGAAATTAATGACGGTTCGCCAGTAAATCAAGATAATTTTCTATGTCTAGTCTTTTCTTTGAAACAATTATATAGACATTTCTGTGAAAAACATCTTCATTGTCAATAATTCGACCATATTTTTAATTGTAATTAGTATCTGTGATCAAGTCCACCATTCCTTAAATTAATTGTTCCAAAGAGAACAAAATTCATCTCAGTCCCAAAAACAATCAATATCTGTGGAACCCAGAAAATGATTTTGTCAGTTTCTCTTAATCAAACTGTGAATTTATGAACACGGTAGCATTAAGCTTGCGGTTTACAATGCTCTGCTAATTTGAAATTTATCCAGAAAATGTTGATTGATATTCGCACTAACATTCCTATATCCAGTTTAGTTTGAATTATTCTAACTAAAAAGTAATTATACTGACCTACTTTAATTAATCATAAAAGATTTATTATCTGGTTTAATACAGTAATAGTTTATTTGAAATAATGATAAACAGTCATAAGACTGATATAATAGACTCAGTTCTAGTCAGTACTTAAAGTAAACGTTCTTGAGAAACCTCATACCACTTCTGTTACATTTGTAACAATAACTGTATTGACTAATCATTGTCAGCAACCTAATCCCATAGAAAACAAACTTGTGAAAACAAACACTAATCAGAATAGACAAATTAAACCAATATAACTCTGCTCTCCGAGTTGAAGTATCTTCATTCAGAAGAACTATGAAGCCTAGTAGTGAAGGTCGAGATTCTTCGAAAATCATGAGACCGATACTCATTCTAACAACCACAGCAACAACTTTTATAGGTACATGGAACGTCTGAACAAAATGGGAGACTGAGAAGACTATTCAAATAACTGTGGAAATGAAGAAATACAACTTGACATTGCTCGAAATCAGTGAAGCCCAATTCATCCAATCTGTACAGAAAAAGATAGATACGGGTGAGATGCTGCTATACTCTGGTCACGAAGAGGAAAATTCTCTCAAACTCAGGGAGTTGCATTGATGATGTCCAGTGAAGCACGAAATGGACTTATAGGATGGGAATCTCATGCGTCCAGAATCATCAAAGCATCCTTCAAAACAAGAAGGAGGAAATCACAATGAATATTATCCAGTGTTATGCACCCACCAATGATAGCAATGAGGACGATAATGAACAGCTTTAAGAGTAGTAAGACAATCACCGAGATTCAGGAATAGAGGAACAGGTGGATAGAACACTTTGAGAAACTTTTGAATAGGCCAGCTCCACTGAATCCACCGGACATTGAAACAGCACACACAAATCTTCCCATAGACGTAGAAGTTACTGAAAACATGCGCTACATTCTCTCTAGGAAGATTTTGGAGGAGGAACAAGTGCCACCAACATACTGGAAAGAAGATCAACGCATCAAGACACCAAAGAAAGGAGATCTGAGCAAATGTGAGAACTATAGAGGCATCACACTACTGTCAGCACCAGGAAAAGTATTCGACAGAGTGTTGCTAGACCGGATGAAGGATTCAGTGAACATCCAACTTCGAGATCCGCAGACTGCATTTCGTAAGGATCAGTCTTGCACAAGTTAAATCGCAACACTATGAATCATCCTTGAGCAATCAATTAAATAGAACTCGTCACTGTATATCTACTTACTTGACTGTGAGAAAGTATTTGACTTTGTGGATGGGAGGATTTTATGTGAACTTCTCCGACACTATGGTGTACTTAACAAGATCGTCAATATCATACAGACTTCATTCGATGGACTACAGTGCAAAGTGGTGCATGTATGACAGATGACAGATGCATCACAATTGAGGAACGGAGTCAGACCAGGCTGCTTACTCTCTCACGTACCTGGAAGCATCATCGATTAACAAGGAGGATCGAATGCAGATGTAAAGGTGAGGATTGGCAAAACAAGGATAACATTCCTATAATTGAAGAACATATACAACTCAAAACAACTCTCAACCAATATCAAAGACATAATCTTCCATGCGAAGGTCAAGACAGTATGTTCAGTTGTACGGAGCGGAAACTTGGAAAACTATTACAAGTATTTATTAACAATCGTCTATGTAAGATACTCAATGTCCGTTGACCGGATACTACTGTGGGAGAGAACAAACCAATTTTCAGTTGAAGAAGAAATTATGAAAAGACAATGGAAGTGGATAGTACAGTCATTGGGGAAATCATCAGACTGCATCACGAGGCAACCTATAACTTGGAAACCTTAGGGGAAGAGGAAAAGTGGAAAGCGGAATAACACAATACGTCACGAATTCGAAGCAGACATGAAGAGAATGAATAGGAATTAGAAAATGTTGAGAAGGATTGTCCAGGACAGAGTTGGATGGAGAATTCTGGTTGTTGGCCTACGATTCTCCATGAAGGATAGCACACGTAAGTAAGTAAGTAATTAAGTACTTATTTGAGATCGTCCACCTAAGTTGGTAGATGATATCCATCTTCTTTATATTCAACTCAATGTTATTTTGATACGTAGTGCATGCACAAACTTCTTTATGTCCTCATGTTATTTTACTGATTATTATAATCTGTTCTGACAATTATGATACTTTACTTCCATATAAGTTTTGATAAATTCTGCATATCTTTACTGCATACTCACTTTAAAATATAAATGTGAAATCCAACTTCAGGTACTAATTGTTTTTAGATTGATAATTTTACATGCATATATGCTGGTACATAGTTGAAAGTACAGTATTTGACGAGGAATTCCTTCGTTTATCGAACGTTCTTCCAACCTAGTGGATATGTTACAACTTAATACAATATTCTAATATACTCAAACATGACTAACTGATCATCTCAAATATCAATATATTTGATTTTACAATCAAACAATCTACACTCTTTCAAACAAATATCACTTCAGCTGATTGAAAACTCTTCAAGAAAGTTATATTTATAGAAGGTCAAGTGTATTTATATTTATTTCGTATGAAATTGTCGTTTGTCAATCCCATAAGAACTACGTTTTCTTGTGTAGATCCACGTAGATGTAATAGATTGATAATTGTCAAAATTCAGGCATTCAAATTCGCCTTAATAAGAATTAGACTGTCAATTTATATTTTACGTTTATAGGAATTGCCACCGATCAAACGAATTCGGCAGCAAATCAGTTAACTTACTATATCCCAATGTTCACTGCGAATTCTGTCAGACCACTGGTCAATTTCACTTACAATTTGACAATTAATTCGATCTCTATATTTGGCAGCTTCATATTTACTACCACTACTCCAGCAGTAAGTCAGAGTACTCATTTTCATTCAACCTGCTTGAAATTACATTCAGATAATTTTGTTATTTGACTTATTTACATTATTTAATGAAATCTGTATACAATATCAATGGTTAGTGTTTTTTTAAAGAGAAACCCTGATGTTTAGGTTACGTAGACTCGACAAAACTTTTATCCATATTATTGATGTATATTGTAGTTTTATTGAGGTCTTTCATGAAAAGATAGAGTTTAGGATACCACTTATCTGTGGTTGTAAGTAGATACTGATAGTTCGTCAAACACAATCAGTACCGAATTCTGGCATAAAATCGTTGTTCACACTAGAGGATCTTTTGAAATGGCCGATAATTCGGTTATTAAGTTTTTCTGCTGTTCTTTCGGTTCAATCTACAACTGGCAGAATATAATATGAATTGTATTTCATTTTTCACCACAATTAGATGCAAATTAATAAGTCTAACATACATGAGAACAAAACATAAGCCATCCATCAGAGAACGATCATTATTTTTCATGACAACATTGTAACAAGTTTAACAGGTTTATCAATAATTTGAGCAGAATACGCTGATATTACGCTAAATCATTTCTTTTCATTCTCAGTTGTCGCTTCCATATTAAATCGAGCCCTAAAGTAACATTTCAGTAGAATATTTCTGATTTTATCTCGTAATGAAACATGAAATTATCATCATCACATCATGCATACGATGCCCTAATTTTGTTCTCCTTAGTTTCACAAAGAAGACTTGAGCAATGACTCATCTCAAATGTTAACTTATAAATACACAGGCTTTAGACTGTCTGTCCCATCGGTGAACTAAAAATGAATGTATTAAGTCAAAGCCTTAACAACTCTGTGAATTGTGCCCAGAATACATCTATAGATCATAAATTGTGTATAATTATATCAAATTTTTTAAATAGTAATGTTAATAAGCAAAGATGAATGATGGCTAGTAGTGGGATCCTGGACGCGCTTTTCGTTCTGTTTGGCACTCGTCAGCTGGATGTATCTGCATTTAATCTGGGATGCAGATACATCCAGCTGACGAGTGCCAAACAAAACGAAAAGCGCGTCCTGGATTCCACTGCTAGCCACCATACATCTTTGCTTATAATGCTTGTGAATCAAGGTGATATCAAAACAGTCCGTAGAAGATGCACATATGTCAATAAGAGACTGATCAATTGCAGTCCGAAACATCAATGGTAAGATTCAAGCGAACAATGCTAAATGAAGTAACTTTAATATGTTGTAACAATATGTCAGAAGTGTGAAACGTCTTACATATGAACTTGATTTGTTACTTCTGGAAACCTGAAATTGTCCTCCAAACTGTACACTATCAGTCCTTAATCAAGTGGTTTCAGCTAGTTTCCCAACCAATGAACTAATTTGTAACACGAAGAGTTACTCATGAAGACGTCTGGCTTCAGTAGTTTAACATATATTGACCTTCATATGAACAATAATCCACTCCATTTGTGTGCCGTTCTACCACTAGGATTTCTTTTGAGGAAATATATAAGGTTATTACTCCTGTTTTAGTGATGAAAATTTAATCACTGTCACAGTGATTAGACATTGGCTTAAGAAATGGTTAACGAATGTCATCTAGTCTTCTAGAATCATCACTATTTTCCGTAAAAACGTGGACTCACTAATCAATGAAACAACAGAACTTTTGTATACATTTTAGTGTTTACTAATCGCTTGTTATTTCCCAGTTGTAGTAGGCCATTATAATCATCGTCATCAGCTTCTCCATTCAGTAATCCTGAAGTAATAAAGCATAATTCATTTTTGGAGTGGGTGAGTACTCTTGACAGCTTAATGCTGTTTCTATTATTAGTCACTTATGAGACTGTGAAATAGCGTTTTAAGATTAGATGTCTAAAACCTAACTGAAGCCTCAAGTGAAAATATGTGGATTATACCAGTTATAAAAAAATGAAGAAAAAGAAACTAATGTATCATAAAAGTTATTACTTCATAAAATCAAGTCATTAATTTTGTGAAGCAGAGACAAGTAGGTTATGTTGATATGATATACTGGTTCGTCGAAGGAAAAATTGCTAAAACGTTTCGGTGGCAAGGTTTGATTGCCGGTTCGTATAGTTACTGCCCAGGGTTATTCTATAAGATTAATCATATTTGTATGATGAATGAAATCCAAGTTGAAACGAATCGTTCATAAGAAACACTGATGCGACATAGTTTCGAGTTCTCCTGAAAGCCATGAATGTATCAACTACAACATTCTATAAAATGAGTTAAATGGACTTCAACTGATAATAGACACGACTAAATTCAACCTAGTTATCTGATCTTCTATAATAAGATAACTAATTCAGTCTATCAGAATATTACTAAGTATCACTTCAGGAAACAGAAGTTTACTCAAGTCATGTACCATCAAGATCTTTAATAAAGTGATGAAAACGTAGTTTTTATTCTTCCTACTAATTCATAATATACAATAACGGTTTTTCTATCAAATAGAAGTGTTCTATTATAGATAGAATGTTCCTAACATAAACTACTACAATACAATACTGGGGTCACAGGGATTAGCCATTCCATAGTTGTAAACTATATGTTCATGAAAGTAAAATGTTATCGCAAACAATTAATCGGTGATACATTTGAAACCACTATTAAAGTGTACTTGACACTTGATGACATTCTTTAAAACAATACTTTATATCTCCTCTTATATTCCATTTATGTGGATTATGTTAATGTTTTTGAAAAAAATGCCATTGAATTTTTTTCATCCGAAAAAGGATGTGAAAACGGTTTCCAAGTTTTAGAGGATATACTTTACAAAAAACGACATTGAAAATGGACATGTTAACTTAAGTTCATTAATGAGATTGTAACCGAAATTTCACATAATTTTGACTGGTCTGAAAGTTGGTTCTAATTAGGATTTATTTGCTAGAATACATGACATTGTTTCCTAACTAATCGTAATTATCAGTATAAGGTCGTGGAGATTGTTGAGTGTTTTTTGAAATTATTAACCGATCAATGTTAGACTATAAGTGAAAACCTGCAAGCACTGGACAATCATTCCGTCCTAGTACTGAACTCCTCAGCAGTGCGTCTCCACGATCTTTCACGCATACTTTCTGTCTCGCGTGAGAACGCTCATCCTCTAAACCACCAGAAGGGCATCCAACAATGGTAATGTCTAACCGTGTCGAGTGTGAGACAGTTATTCACAGAATACAGTGGAAGATGGTCGCGCAATATCATGTATTGGTATAAGTTAGGCATTCATCCCGCGTGCAGGATCGTGGAAACTCACTGCCTGGGAGTCCCATACAAGGACGAAATGGCTATCCAGTGCTAACAGATTTTCAATTGTGGTCTAACATCGATCGGTTTGTGATTATAATCAATTGTAAGTAATTGACATTCACGTTTATGTTGATTTAAAATATCAGTTGAATATACATCTATGAATACATTAATCCTATGTTTTTGTTGAAATTGAACATGTTGTGTATGCAGTTTTTCTTTTCCAGATACTAAGCTGAGAAACATACTATTGAATAAGTACAGTACATAATTGTATGAGTGAGGAAATTGTATATTAATCTGTGATTTTGCCAAGCAATTTTTAAATTCGGGATTGTAAAACATATTTTTGCAAATAGTAAAACTCTTTTCATAAAACGTGGTAATTTCAGTCTTGACATTTTTACAAAAATAGGCATTTACTACAACTCTTTTAAGTGATTGGACTTTAATTTCTCCAAGTGCCGCTGATGTATACAAACAAATGTGTACTGGAGGACCGTTTGAAATTATATTGTATATATGTCCCGTTGAAAGACGTTGTTCATTCTTTACATACTGGATCAACAGAATGGTTAATGGTATTGCAGCTCTTAATGTTACAAAAGTAGTTTTACATCAAACTTTTTCAGATGTGCGGTTATCAACTTCGTTCTCTTTAAATTTGACATCTGAACGTAGGTTAGTTTAAACTGATTAAATCCTACGTTGTTCATTAATTGTTTTACATGCTGCTGTAACTAGACTAGCGTTCCATAAATGTACACACTTACTTTCAGTGATCGAAAGTGAACTGTGTGAAATTATGAGAAAAACTCAAAAGATCTAGATTAGAATTATACTGGTAAATCGAGAAATGGTTTTAGTTGAACAGCTGGAGCTGAATACTTACCTTTAACCTGATTTTCATTGTAATTGTGTGCGCCAAATATTCATACTTTTGCTGAAAGTTATTTATCACTTCACTTTCACAAGGCAATGAATAGTAAAACAATCTATTAATACACCGTTTAAGACTACTTATGAGTCAGTAATCTTATATTCGATTTGGCCCATTTTTTGCATCAGAGCAATTCATTTTTTCACATTTCAATTTATGTCAATAATTGAAGACCACCAAACTAGTTCATTCATACAGAGGAAGAAGAAGAAGCAGTATAAATACATTGATGAATTCATGAAATCATCCATTTAATTTAGTTCTTGCTTCATTTAAATTTGTTAAGGGAACTGATCGGATGAATATTAAAAGTTATCCAATGTTGCTATGAAACAACTGAGAAAGTGATAAGCCGGTTGATGTGATAAAATAGTAATAGAAATTTACTCGTCTATGATCACATATGTATGTCTTTAAAATGACGTGTATCACAAGATTTCGATGTCAGTATATGGTTGTAGGGATTTCTGAATTTCATCAAAATCATGAACTGATCAATGTTAGATCATCATTGAAAACGTGAATGCAGTACACATAAAGCGAACTGTTGAGGAGTCCCATACTGGGGAGAAATGGAAATTTCGATTTTGAATGGTGGTCTTACGTTGTTCAGTTCATGATTTAAGTGAAACAAGATTTCAATGCTTTTAACGTAAACATATGCCTAGAAAGTTGAAATGGCGAATTATTTCATAGTGATTCTATCTCGAGATAATGTCTTTGTTAATTATTACAGTTTAACTGAGAGAGAACATTCGGTTCACACTTTTTCTGTAATCGACTATATCGTTACTCTGTTGACACCATACCAAAAAATACATTTCTGTTCATCATTAGCATGACTTTTGTGCTTATCGATTTAATTGGTAACTTACTCCATTACTCCTCTAATATGTACAAACAAACCATAAAATTAATGATTTATAATTATTTTCTTCAGTTATGTGAGAGTGGATTACGGACCATCATGCACCATCAATCAAAATTATTATTGTGTAAGTCTACAAAATAGTAAGTGTTCTGTTGTACACTGTGTTCCAATAAAACTGTGTCGAGATTGTGTTCTTAAATAAAAATTGAAAATAAACATACTTGATCCCTTATACAATTATAGTAAAATGCATTAAAACCATTTTCGAGTTGTTAATGATAATCTGATGGAATGGATTAAGTGGTTACGATCGCAAACTTAACAACTTCATGAAACATAGTTACACGAATTTTTGTCACAAACAACAGAAAAAATAAGTAACTGATTTAAGTGAAGTTAATAAACGTCTAAGTTTAGATTTCAAGTCCAATCAAATTTACCACGGCCTAGAATTCACTTTCAACGTGACTGTCTAAACATCCTCAGTAGCTTTGATATATTGTGCAGAGAGGATTTCTCACTACTCTCAAATGTAAACGTCTGTCCCAGAGTTAATCAGAATCACCGTTCAGTCGAACAACAAAAGGTGAAGTGCCAATCTGAAGACGAATATAGTAAACATCAAAATGAGCTCAGTTATTTTACAGGTGTTTGGTGGTGATTACATTCTGAGATGATATGGTAAATATCAGCCATTCCTTGAATCCTAGTGTGTCCGTAATTTTGCCGATTTAATCTTCTGGTGATACGAAATGTAGTAACTATAACTGTCATAATATAATGACCGAGTCATTCATCTTTATCTTGGTGAGATACACGTTTTTTGAATAGATTAATGTTTTCTGCCGGAATTCGCAACGTAATTATTGGTGTTTCCTGGAATTAGACAAGAAATAAATAAAGTATCTTTGTAGTAAAATTGTTAGGTAATAAGGATATTTACAAATAAAAACATATTTGACTTTTATGATAACGAAAACACTGAGTGGTAGTGACACAATGTTAGTTTATGTCACTTTTAGACGTAGAATTCAAATTGTTGACCTGACGTATGTATTCATGATCGATTATTTCACGTTTTAATATTCATATTGAATTCCTGCCAATCTTCTGGAAAATGGATTTATTTATTCATTCACGAAATTCATGAAATTGTAACTCAGCTAATGATCATCAATGGAAAAGACATAATTTATGTTAATCCTGACATTTGGCCTATTGATATGACGCTTAAGCTGTAAGATAATTCTTCGAATACAACGGTGATATGTTGATGATATAAGAAATCAATGTAACACTGTATTCAACCATTTTTCTGTTTTTCATTATTTTTTACACCATAACAATGTGATTCTTTTGTATTGTGTAGACGCAATTTAAACATACTGTTTATTTAATGGGAGATTGCAATGTGACAACGACAACAAAATACGCTTTTCCAACATTTGTTAATATCAGTGGGAGTGCAAAAAATTTTACCGCTACGACTATGGTATTTAATGTAATACCAAGTTTCCCAATATACACTGATGTAAGCTATAATTGATTTAAAAACAATTTCAACCTCGTGTTATTACTCAAACATTTTCTTATTTCTATTTGGTGTACACAGTTCTGATTTAGTTATGTTCTACATAAAATTATTACGTAATGTGAAAACAAATCTACAGATAATCCAATAAAATAGATTCTTAGTTTTGCAAGTCCATTAATGATAACTATAAAATAAGAAGCATGGGTTTAGAGAAGGGTTCTGTTTTCTGGCGAATTCATTTTTGAAGATGTACAACCGCAAACATTTACTTATTTTTCAAAGTGATCATAAGTACATTAATAGTGATAATAAAATTTTGCCGAACGTGGTATCAGTGAGGTAAATTGAATGCATTTTACTAAAGAAAATACTAATAATGTTGTTGATGAAACCTTAAATATTCATCATGAAGAAAGATAAAGAAATTATAATTAGAAAGTGGATGCTCAGCTTGATAAGATAAAATGCTGAAATTGTGATGAATTGTATTTAATAGTATCATAGTAACAGAAAAACTCAAGGGTTTGTAGTGAAGATTGAAGCGAAGTAGATGATCATGAAAGAAGGAACGAAGAAAACGTCATGAAAGATTAAGGTTATGGTACATCTAAAACTGATTTATCCAAATACTCTGCAGATGTTTCTGTAGTGCCATGAAGATAGAATATAACTGCTTCTGGCAGCTTTCTAAGTACCTTGTAAATGACTTTGAACGCAGAGTCAATTTGCATTGAATGACCTGTGTTCACAGGGTGTTCAATTGTTGAGCTTCTTATTAAGCCATTCTCGCCTCTTTTAACACAGTGTTCTTGATTCTTTTGAGTGAATACTCATCGGACGACTCAAATATCTGGCTCCACATAAACAGGTAAATTGATAGAGAGAAATGGGATTAGTCGAATGTGATAATTTATCTTTGAGATTGTTACTGAACATTGGTCGGTGAGAGAACACTAGTCACAAAGTTGTTGAGATGAATTTTCTACTGAGTTGGCCATTTACATTCACTTCTTTTATGTAATCAATAAATTCGGGAGTGTCATTTAGGGAATGTATACAAATATATTTTCTTATGAGTTTTTTTGCTATAGAGTAGTAATGGGATAGTAGGGTAGTGCATGTTTGTGTACTTTAAGCAGAACATATATTTATGGTATTGTTGATCCTGTTAACTCTGTGCACTCCTAGGTATCTTCAGTAATTACATGATCATTTAAAACGTTGACATTCTTTGTCATAGACTGAATTTAGATCATTTGTCAGCTTTACTTTTTCATGATATTTAGTCCTGAAGTTATAGATAATAAATAAATACGCACAATGTTGTTTACAATTAGATTTTCATCTGAATTAACTTTCATATAAATAGAACTGCATACTACAACTAAGTTTGATGACGAACCAATTGAAAACGATCTTGTTCAGTTTTCTGTTTGTTGTTCACATTCAAAATGAACAGAGACAATGTGTCTATTTCAATCTTTATTTAAGGTATTCCAATTGATCAGGATGACAAGTCACTTGTATTTTAGTGTGTATTAGACTAATTTTTCAAAGAATACTCGTCTCAATCAATGAAGTTTCCAGTGATATTTTACGATCATCTAAGATAGAATTTAAGCTACATAATAAACAAATGCATAGAATATGTAAGATCATCCATTAAATAAAACTTATGAATGGTAGTTCTATATTAACAGAAATTGATTAAACCATTTGAGGATAACACAGATCATGATGTATAGAACAATGACTGTATATCATGTTAAACAGTAAAATGGGAATGAAGCCCATAATAACTGGCAAAATAATATCAACTGAGTAGAGAACGCATATATTACTACTCGATTACCCAAAATATAAGCAAAGCAATCAAAGTAAACTTTTCAACATAAAACTGATAAATTACTATAAAATTTCTCGATAAACTATCGCATTCAAACTACATTAATTGGTTGATGGTTAAGATCATGAATTCGAAATTTCAGCAGATAGACTAGGGTTGTCATTTCAAATTATTCGTCTTAAATACATTGATAATATTTGAAATTAAATATCTATACGTACGTCGAGGTTGAGGTATTGAAGAAACCAGAAAAATCACATAATACTTTAAGTTTGTATCTGATATCCGATGCAACGGTCGGAAACCTGTGATCAGTGGATTTTGCATTAAAAACGTTCATTTCAAGTTTGTCGCCATCCGCGTATATATCTACACCTCTGAATACGTACATGAATTATATTTATATAGGCTCAATACATTCTTAACATCATCAGTTGTCTAATTATATTAGTTTCGTAGTTGAACCACTGTATTTCAACCGAGGTATAGTTAAACACGTTGTTTCATTAAAACTTCTGTGAGGAACATTAGACAAATAGTCGTCATTTTGAAATCGTCTTTTTACTACAATCAACACTTGTATCTTAAATAGCAGTCAACCAGTTTTGTTAGATTAAAGCTTAGAATATTTCATTTCAGATTATGATTGAAGTAAGTCCATCTACTGTAACGCTGCAGCCAGGTCAAAGAACAACTATCAATGTGAAATATATATTCCCACTGAACTCCACGTATCTGAAATCTGTAGTACAAATCAGTGGAACTGGAAGCAACAACACTAATGAATCTATAATAACTATTGCAGATTTTAAAATAACTTTGGGTTCGAACTTATTTTACACAACAACTGCTTACTCATCTAATTATTTGTCAACTTATCCAACCGATCAAAATGATCAGTTGGTAATATACTTCGAAAATATCACAAACATTGGTGAGTTTAGTGAAAAATTACAGTTCATCAGTTCATATATGACTATTTCTAGGGTATCTGTCATTACTTACACTAAAACAATTAAATATTATAGATATGTTTCTTAATTCATCAAATATCTTAAGTTTCACAGTTGTCAAATTGAGCAAGATATGTTCATTCTAGATGAGTTCATGCTTAACGGATAGTGTTATGCAACTTCTTTTGCAGATCGAATATTTTACCAGAATATTACTTTAGATGACATATGAGAATAGGTGTATGATATTTTACTTACCAGTTCAAGACTGAATTATCTTTACAACGAAAGTCTAGAATTTAAGTGGTATTCAATATTACTAGTGTAGTGAACAAACTCCATCGTTCCTTCATTGCTATTACAATTACTCTCTGTTTACATTCTCATTCCCTTCAATTCGATATTCTCAACCTTCTGCTATCAGTCATTCCACTTCTGATTGGTGTTACACACTACTTATGTCAACAGACATAAGTAGCATTCACCACACTAGTGTACAAGATCAAAGTTAGGCAAGAAAATATCTTTTAAAAATATGACTGAAACTCATGAATTAAAACAGTGAAATAAGTTGAAGTACTTTGGAATAAAATTTGACAAAAACACTATCAACAGCTTACTGCTTTCCTTGAAAATTTGATCTTCATTGCATCCAGTAATTTTCAATAGCCTACCTCACAGTCAAAAAAATCTGGCTTTTATCTGTTTGAACTAATTAACACTAGATAACCAGTAAACTAAATACTGTCCTTTATTTTCTCTCCAATCAGAAGAATGATGTTAGGCATTCATGGATATGGCTCAACTTTATATAAAAAAAATACATCTCAGCTGAAATAATCGAGTTACACACCACATGGCTGAACTTTACATTACAGTAACGAAGACAGCGAAATAAATTCTTTGTGTGTGTAAACAATGAAAATGTTCTACAATGAAGGTTATTAACAAACAGTAACCAAAATATTTCATGAAAATGCAAGCAGAATCATTGCCATTATGTGAAATGGAATAAAATAAATTGATTTGTTGTTTGTCACTATTTTTTAAATATTTTGTAACTAACTACTTGATTCACTATTTGACAGTATCGTTTTGAATTTTATTGTTCTCGATTAGCACCTAACCAATTTAGTCCTGATATTTAAAACACTAGCTGTTAATTCAGAGTGAATAAATGATTCAGGGTCTTTTTCAATGCACTATCTAACAAAAATTATCGACATTTTTAGGTACGGTAAGTGTACCCCTAATGCGAAACACTCTCAGTCTTTCAGTGGATATCCAGTTGAGTGATAGTAAAATTGTAGAAAACGGGACTGTTTGGCCGTTGCAAATCACTGGTCGATTCAATGCTGTCACTAATATTAGCAAAATATCTGTGATTTGTGTAAGAACAGGGTCAGAAAAACCATCAATTCAGGTTGTACTATCTCAATTGTCATCGTTCACACTCAGTGATTATCCTGATAGGTATGTTTAAATCGTTTTAACCTTTAGTGTGTATTTATTTAATGGAATAATTGGCTCACTTCCAACGCGAATTCATTTTTCACTTGAATATCAGTTTCACATAAAACAATTATTATATTGATCAGATAGTGTCCAAATGAACATAATAATGTTCCATATCAACGATTAGGCTTATGACTACTCGCATGAAGAGTACAAACTTTGGTCTTGAACAAAGAGTTTGAAGATCTTTGTGCTATCCACCAAGCAATACAAATATCACGCCCGAATTCAAGTGACCGAATGAATTAGTTTCATTTATTTCATAAATTGGTTTCAAACCTCGTTATTAATGCATAACATTCAATGTTAATAATCTCGGTGTTGAATTTCCTTGAAAACCTAACTCATAACACCTTGAAACCAGACACACAACTCGTTTAGGCATCCATCAGATGAAACACAGTTTAAACATACAATAGGTATCTTAAACAGATGTGGCTGTTGAGTTGTAGTACAGATTACTCATTGGAGTTATAAATTTCAAATCTATAGGTCAAACACCGTCACTGCGTATCCTGTTTATCTCTAACAAGTCTCAGACACAAAGTCAGAAATATAAACTTGTACTAGACTCAAATAACGCATGTAGAAATGGAATGATGTAATCTGATTAGTGTCGAGGAATTACTGACAAGTAACTATTAAATGATTTTAGCCAATATTTTTATTTTTCTAAAAGACTTGTTGTCAGTCTCGTGAACAGGAACATGACTAAGTATTTTCTATCCTGTCACTATGAAGTAAATCATAACTATTAAGCTTAAATCAGCTTCGCTAGTAAAAGTATTCAAAAACCGGTGACAATCTTATCTGAATTATCTTCCACTTATCTCAACACAAAACATTTTGACTTTTGTTAAATCTGTCGATATGTCGAAGACAATATTTAAGCATGGAAGGTGATATAGCTGTTTCTAAAGCCTCTCATCAAACCATTATTGCTTTTTATTTATTACCGTTCACTTAAAAGTGAAAAAATGGAGTAATGAAGAAAGCAGAAATTTGACATTTTTCTCCGTGATACCTCCAACAGTTACCTAACTTGATTTAATTTCAACAAACTGACCTAATGTCATCATGTTTTCTGATGAACCAACTATGGTATATATTTCTGATACACAGTAAACAATCAGCTGAGAACATTTAACTGATGGAACTACCCACTCGTTTGCATCAACATCAAAAATAATTCTCTTCGAATTTAAGAAAAATAATTCATTATAACATTTTCAAGATTTCTGACAATACTGGACATAATATAATTAAGTTAGTAGTAAAAAAGTCGTATTGTTGTGCAAAATTCTAATAATTTCACCCTATCGGTGACACACACGTCTACGCTGTGCTTAAAACATCTACATACTGAAATGTAAGTAAATGCAAAGTTATAAATATTCTTGCTATTTCTCTGCTGATAGTAATCAGTTAATCCTAACAAAGTAGATTGGAAAGCTTGTAAAAGCAAACATCAAATCCAAATGCTATTTGAATTGAATCATCAAAATTCGAACCATGTTACTGATTGATATGAAATAACTCTCTACATATTATACATTTTGTTTAATCCAATACTCAGAGATGTGGTGTATCTTCAGACAACCGTCCAAATGATGAATGGTACCGGATTGGAATGTGAAAGACAATCGATAATTTTCTATCTCAGTCCACAAATAAAATCAATCAGTGTAGTTAATCAAACAGGGGACATAGATAATGTAACATTGAAAACTCCTTTAAACCCAGTAACTAAATCAGTTCAGTTCATAGTAAGTTTCTGTGTTTCAAGACATATTTTGAAAACAATGTTATTCAATTTAACTCACTGGAAATTTAGTCGAAGCATTTAAACGGATTGAATTGATTTTCTGATTGTAAATTAAATGCTCATTAACTAGTCTAAAACCGTTAACATAATCATATTATTTGAAGAAAAAATAACTGGTAATATTGAGAAATAGACATTTTGGCTTTCCAGGTTTAAGTGATCCATCTGATAATTGTACATAATGATCTAACAGAAACGAGTGATATCAAGTTTTATTTATTTATTTATTTATGGCTTTATTCAATATTATATTTTGGTACAATATAGAATTCTCAGCACAAAAATATTTCAACAAGTTTCTTTTACAGAAGAAAAAATAACGGTTAATAGAAAAATTTTTTAAAAAAATTTGGAAAACTGTACAACTTTTCAATTAGAGTCATGTTAAGAATGCAGATTATTGACTAGGTTAACTCTAACAACCTGTTCGTCACAGAGTATATTTGCTAGGGGAGGTATTATAGAACGTTTATACTTTTGCTTGAGTGCTTGGATTTTAATGTAATTTCGTCTCATTCTACCAGAAGATATACAAGGAGAAAGATATGAGTGAAGGGGATGGTTAGTATCTGATAAAATAACACCAGCCAGGAGTTTGCATGACTTTAGATGTCTATCCACAAGCATATTAATTATGATCTCGAAAGATTCACCTCATACCTTGCTAACTGCCTTCAGCACTCTCCGCAGTACAGCAAAGTCTTTTCTCAAAAGCCGGGGAAAGAATAATGGAGAACAGTAAAGAATAATAGGTAGTATGCAAGAATTGACAAATTGTAGGAGTAAATGACGAATGATCCCAAGAGTATGCAATCTCCTAATGTAGTAAGTCAGACGAAAATCCTTCTTCGATAACAATGAAACGTGAGAAGACCAAGAGAGATCAGACGAAAAGGTAACACCAAGATAATTGACCGTCGACACTGTGTTTATCAATGAGTCGCCAATGGCACAAGCATTATGAGATCTCAAAATGGTGTTTAAATGCCGATCATGTCTCATGCTAAAGTTAACAGCTTGACATTTAGACGGATTAAGTATGAGACCATCAACAACAGACCAATTATCAATACGAGATAAAAACTCATTCACTTCTATAGGATGTAAAGAGGAAGAGATAGGCATACAAACAGTGAGATCATCTGCATATTTCACAAAAGTGTTTACTGTGGAAGATGGCAGATCATGCAGAAAAAAAGAGAAAAGAAGAGGGGAAAGAACAGCTCCTTGTGTTACACCTTCATAAGACACTAGAGACCCTGAAAACTTTCTTCCAAACACTGTGTACTGTTCCCTTCCAGAGAGGTAGGAACATAGCCAGTTGGTTATCCAGCTGTCAGTGTTGACGCTGATTAACTTGTTAAGTAAACGTTGTCTTGATATCGAATCAAAAGCAGAAGTATAGTCCAGGAAAGTGCATCGAACATACTTCATACCCTTTTCTAGGTTGAACACTATATTATGATGCATAACAGCAACAGCATCTAAGGTGCTTCTTTTGCATCTGTAAGCAAACTGATACTGGTCAATGTGCTCTTTTATCGCAGTCTGAAGTGAAAGTGTCAATAATTTTTCCATTGTTTTGAGGAATGGGGAAGTTATTGCAATGGGTCTGAATTTCACATTCTTATCACCAGATGCTTTCTTAGGTATGAGGATTATCTTCATCTTACTCAAAATTTTCGGTATGAGATTAGAAGAGAAGGATCTGTTAAACATAGTAGTGAATGGATAGCATAGGTCGTCAGCACACTTTTTAAAAAAGAGGTTTGGGATACCATCAGGTCCCAAACATCGGGATGAATTTAGTGTCTGGAGACATTTTCGGACATCAGTTTCAGTGAAACTAGGAGCACAGCTATTTTTTAAACCCGTGAATAAAGGGAGCATCACATCTGATGACTGACGTAAAAAAGACTTATTTAAGTCACAAACATCCAGCTGGTTATCGCTCCTAATTTGTCTGTCACCTGTAAGTTCTTTAAAGAGTCTCCACATACTTGAAGAGTTTTTACAAGACAAGAGTGTTGAGACGAATAATCTCGAGGTTTATCAGACCATTTAGCTTACGAACTTCACTAGAGTTTTTCTCCTTGTACATTCTTTCTTTCACCCTCCGTAGTTGTTTTAGTTGTGAAGATCAAAACTCTAAAAAAGGGTTTCAGTGGGACAACAAATATTAAAACGAAATTTAAGATAACAAGTGATAGCATCAGTAGTGTTTTCTAATCAGTCATCTGTAAATAATCTCCAATTAGTCAAACGAAACATGTTTTCCAGATTTTGGATATTTTCTTCTGAGTAATTCCTGTATTTGACTTTCTTTGTCTGATGTAAGAGTATACTCTTTACAAGGTTGCCATATACTTTAGGTAGAACACGAATAATACAATGATCAGAACTAGACAATGGAGCAAGTTTACGAGTTACATATGTTCCCACATCAATAATGAAAATTAAATGTACTACATTTTGGTGACCTATTGACGTGAGGAAGCTACAGTCAAATGAATTCAAATCACCGCATACAGTTGTAAGTGAACCACTGACGGAAGTAACAGGGAATTCAGTGAACTCATCAGCAAAAACAGATAGAGCATTTGAATTGCAGTCTGGAATCACATCTGACATCCATATTACTTTTCCTAACAACTTATTCCAACAATTTCAACAAGAGATAAAAACTCAAGGTCCGTAGAATTGTCGTTAACTATTGGATGAGATTGTTATTCCATCATGGTTTTCAGTGACTTCACAATCACATACCTCTACAAGTTTTTAGTTCAGCGTAATGACCACGTTACACGTTACGGAGACATAATAATTAAAGTGAATTTACTCTCCGTGTCACATCTTGGAATTGTTTGTAATAAATAACTACAATAAGGAACAAGAAGTAAGATGATGTACCAACATGTTAAAAGCACCCTTTATAATAGTGTGGTTAAAACTGACGAGTCCCAACAAGGTGAAACGCGCGTCCTGTCTCCCAATGTTAACCATCATCATCACTGCTTATAACTGATTACGGTTTGAAACTGAAAAAGAATAATTTAAGAAAGTAAAGAAAGATCAAAGCATACCACACAAGGTAATAAGAGCCAAGTAGAATAAGTGGGTGAAAGTGTCGTTTTTGCACGTAGAGTTCAAACTCGGATTTGTGGATTGCCAACGCCTCAGCAGTGAATAAGTTTTTGACTCAGCCTTCTTTCGATCCAGTTCGTTTGATTACTAAGTGTCCCTGTATCGGACTGGTAACTGTTTCGCATCCTCCCTTTACAAGCCAGGCCAGGTATTGTTCTGAGATGCGTTTAGAAAGCGGTCGCTTTATGCGGCCAATAAAACCTGCTCCACAGGAACAAGTACATTTATAGATGCACGTCAACATGGACAAAAGCGGAAGTTCATCCATATCACATTTGTGAATGGTAGGCCGGCTTGAGAAGACAAAACAGAGCTTATTCGAATAGGTTTTATCCAGGGATTTTGAAATGCGTATATTAAAGATTTCGGAAGACTTATCTCCTTTAAATTCGATATACTTAAAAAGAGTTTTCTTTTGAACTGTCGGTGCTGTTTTTAGGATGCCTCGGTGTTAAGTTCCTATCTACTAATCTTGGTGGATAATCATTTCAGATGAATGTCTGTTAAAGTTCAAGTAGTTCGTCATCTGCTTCATCATTAGAACATTCCCCTAGGCATGAGGATAAAGAGTGAATCAAGTTTCTTTTTCCACTCAATAGGATCCAACTATGGAAATTCGTATACCAACCATTCCAGGTCAATTTTTATATATAGATCTGTGCAAAGAACCATATGAACTTCTTTTCAACGGGACATCAAGAAAATGAAATTCCTCATTCGCCTCTGTTTCCAACGTGAATTAAATTGAGTAATGACAACTATTGAACCAATCCGAAATTTCATTGGGGTCCATTTTTCTTCACATATCATGAAAGTATATGGTAATCTGAAGTATTCGAATTTATGTGCTAACTAAGAACTCCTGAAATAGTGCAATTCAACTCAAGTCGAACAAGCTGAGCCAAGGGAACACACTAGATTTGGGATTCGTGATCAGATCGCAATCAAGTACAAAGCAATCATTAGTTTGTACCAATACCACAACCACCACAGCTTAAATGGGAATCTAAATATGTGTAATCGATTGCACTTTTCCTTCAGTTCATCATGTGCCTATCTGATTGTGTATTGAATGAGGATTCTGCATGATCTAGGATGTGCTTATTAGTATTACAATTAAAAATCACCCTCACATTGAGGGTACATTGTAGAGATAGCTCTTTTGATAATGTTTTAGGAGACTAATATCAATGTTGTTATTTCAATATCGTCACATAAAAACCACATAGTTTCTGTGAGTGGAACATTTGTAAAGAGAGAACTGACATGCAATGAGATCATTTCTCCGCCACTTACAATGATGTTTCTGAATCGACAAAATCAAACGAATCATCAGCGTCGTATCTATTGATGTGATTTCTGACGTGTTGTGAAATTTCAGCAAACCATTTAGCAAACAAATGATACGGAGTGTTATTCATATCAAGTATGGAACATAAGTAAATGTTCTTCTTCTGAACTTTTGGAAGTACGTATGGTCTCTGTTTAGTGGAACATGATGGTCTAAGATGTTCATAGAGGTCACAATTGATAATAAACTCGTCTTCCATCTCCCTTAGGAATTTACTTAACATCTGTTGCGTTTTCTCAGTAGCGTCATGGGGAATTTGGTGATATAGTGCTGAAGATGCACAAGGAAAATTCCTGCAACCTTATCTGGGTGGCACAGCACTAAATCTTGGTTTTTCGGAAGACGAAATAATTGAGACTTATGTTCTTTATGGGGGTGGTCGTCTAGTTATAGGTATCGTGATTACATATTGAGTTCATTAGTAATAGTTGACGTACTACAAAATTGAGGACCAAGTAATAATGCATGTAACTGAATAGTCGACAATGTTATACACAACTGCATTTGATATTTAGAATCTCGAATCACTTTATGATGCAATCTTTTCTATCCTTCTATAGACATATATTTGCAACATAACTATTAATACGAATGTGTAGTTTGAGTAAATGATTTGGTGGAAAAGAAAATTTATTTCGCTAAATCCTTTTTATATGTGAATTCTTTCCATCTTATTGATTTCTACTCCTGATTCACTGGGTGTTACTGTTTACAATTGTATCGAATGAGGTATTATCTAGTGTTATTCTGGTTTCCTATTCTGCGTCGTCAATCCTGGTTCTGGTGTAGTGTGGCTAGTTATATTATTGTAGTATACATGAGAGAGAAAAGAACATTTTAAACGATCCATTATATCAGCAAAGTTGGATGGTGACTAGCAGTGCAGTCGAGGACGAGTCCCAAATAGGACGAAACGCGCGTCTTGGATTTCACTGCTAGCCACCATCCACCTCTGATTATAATGCTTGTGACTTAAGGCAATATCGAAACTATCCTCACAGGATGTACGCATGTCAATAAGAGACTGATCAAGTGCAGTCCTAAACTACAATGGAAAGATTCAAAAAAATAATCCAAAATGAATTAATCCGTTATATCAGTTAAGACGGAGTGAAATTATAGTAAACGTCTTCTGTAGAAATCATTTTATAACACAATATAATCACTTTAATTCATTATAATGAAACATTGCTATATTAACTCACCAACCAATTACTACTTGTTTCCATCAGGTATATTACAACGTTTTAGCGATCAACTTGTACTTGGTCAACATCAGCATTCTCCTATGAATATGTTAGTGATGCGCATCACGACATACCGGATGGAAAACACAAACTCGTTGAAATCTAATGCTTGAAATAAAATTTACAATCAAAATTACATTCTTCTACATAGCACTCCACTCAGTAAATGAACTAGAAGGTACTAGGAAATGCTGTATACGTCATAGTTATTGAACATTAAATACGTAAAGGATAACTTCCATACATTCGGTCTGTTAACCAAATACAAAATGATCTAGCGAACGTTCAGTCAACTGAATCGTAAAGTTTCTATTATCCATAAATGGTTTGTAATCTTCGTTCCGCAATATCACTAAAGTATTCTAAGGACACTTCATGATTTGATTTGATTTGATTTGATTTCATTGATTAACCGCATCGCTACATAAAACTAATATTTCTTCTACCACTTTCTAGGTCATAGTCAAACATTTTCGATTTCAAATTTCGATTTTAAAATTGAAATATCACTCTGGAATACCTTTCTAAAACAAAGGTTGTATCTGTGTAGGTATTACAGGAGACAGATAAAACACCTCACTTCCATGTTTCATATCTGTTTACCATTAATTGTTGCATATAGTTCCGACTCGAGGGAAATCTATTTAACCACTACGGTCATTTCAAATTTTAAGTTTCTACTGTGAAATATTTTCAGTATTTCTCGTCAAACATCCAAACTCATTCAAATCCGTCGAAACATTACTTCATTTACTGAACCGAGAGCACGAGATCGATCTGATATCTGCATTCACTGTCGTTTACAGTACTAATGAAACTTTCAAAGTTTGTACAATTCCGTTGACCAAACATAGAGGAGGTAAATTACAATAGATTTTTACGCCCACGTTAGTCATCATTTGAAATCGCCTCATATTACAAAATGAAACATCAATTTCAAACATATATCAACTCTTGCTCTGGAACAACACTTGAGGATATTTTTTCTCGTTTCAGGCTGGACGTTTATATTTTGGTGCGAAGTATGCAGTCATCTTTAGTCTGAAATTTAATCCATCTCTTAGCACAACCATTGTGAAATATCCAGTTCTGGTCGAAATTGTGTGCAAACCCTATGAACGTGGTAGTCCCGTAGTGAATAGCTGCGCAAGACAGAAGTTTTACAGGTTCAAATCTCATCTGCGTGTTGAACTTGACTACACTTGTGAGTTCTATCAGTGTATGATTTTCCAAATTCATCTTATGATTAGAAATCAACACTACCTACCAAGGTATGACTGCATTATAGGAAATAAGTTTACTCTGCATGTCGGATACGTTATCTTAAATGAAAAATGTCTTCTGCAGATAAATCGCTTTCTACTTATCATCGTTAACATTTCCGCTGTTGTGAAAACGATTTCGATCTCTGCATTGCATACGAGTTATCATACTGTCACCAAGTATTCACACATACAAATACAACTTTGCAAGCCATCATAATTTACTGAATTTTTCTCATGCTACTGAAATCATAATCATTCTCAAAATGTGAGGTGCTTGTTAATTGCTTTCAGCGAAAAGATGAGTTAGTCCGCATATAGAGTTATCAATCATTTGGAGGCTTTCCATATTGATAGTTCATTACATTATACAAAACTGCTAGTAAAGTACAATCACAAAGAAAAGATGAAAAGAATAACACTCATCTTCCTGTTGAGAAGCATCAACTAAATATGTTTACACTGTAACTACATACAGTTCTCTTACACTCACCTATTAAAATGATCCCGAATATTATCAACCATAACGATATAGAATGTTTGTCATTGGTCACTTATCTACAATCACATCACATTACTGTGAAAGAATTCTCTATCCTTTTATTGATTTTTGGGATAATTAAAATAATTCTCAGTGACTGTGTGATGCGTTATTTAATAACACTTTGCCTTGTATTGACCGTTTGCATTCAGATCCGTCCAACTTACCTCATTACGTTGCAATGCGGAACTCTCTGGTACAGTTGCCCGACCGTCAAGCAAACACATTTCTAAATGTTGGTGATCTTTTGTTTTATTGTGCCCGTGCGTTTAGCATAAAAGGTTCATTAGATTTGGTGAGACGTTGTTTCAAGATTAGTAAATTGCCTGAAAGAATTTGGTTTGGTAAGTAATCATACACAATCTGTTGTGTTTTATTATTCAACAGTGGATATTTGAAGTTTAAATCTACATACTTACGCTTGTTACCCCTAGTGTAGGAGAACAGGCCACCCACCAGCATTCTCCATCCCTCTGTCCTGGACAATCCTTCCCAAATTTTTCTAGTTGCTATTCATTCTTTTCATCTTTACTTCCAATTGCCGACATAGTGTGTTATTCCGCCCTTCTTTTTTCCGCTTGCTCTCAGGATTCCAAATTGCAGCTTACCTTGTGATGCAGTCTGATGATTTCCTCAATCACTGTACTATCCACTTCCATCGTCGTTTCATAATTTCCTCTTCAATTGAAAATTGGTTTGTTCTCTTCCACAGTGGATTGTTGCTGATGGTGTCCAGCCAACAGAAATTGTGTACCTCGCGTAGACAATTGTTTATAAATAATTGCACTCTTTTGATGATGCTTGTAGTAGTCCTCCAAGATTCAGCTCCGTACAGTAGAACTAACTGTATTGACATTTGTATCGAAGATTGTGTCTTTGATATTGGTTGAGAGTTGTTTCGAGTTGCATATGTTATTCAATTGAAGGAATGTTATCCTTGCTTTGCCAATCCTCACTTTACATCTGCATCTGATACTCCTTGTTCATCGAAGATACACCACAGGTACGTGAAAGTTTCCACCACCTCCAGACCTTCTTTTCATCAAGTGCGATTGGGCTGGTGTTCTCTGTGTTGTGTTTGGGGATCTTGGTTTTTCCCTTGTGTATGTTGAAGCCTACTAATGCAGAGGCTGCAGCAACACTGGCTGTTTTCATCTGCATTTATTGATGTGTATGTGATAGAAGAGTTAGGTCATGTGTGAAGCACAAATCGTCTAGTTGCATGCAAACTGTCCATTATGTTCCGTGCTTCCCCTCAGATGTCGAGGTGATCATAATCTAGTCAACCACCAGAAGAAAGAGGAAGGGGAGAGTATGCATCAATGTCTGACTCCGGTCCTCACTTCTGATGCATCTGTCAGTTGTCATACGTGAACCAATATGCACTATAGTCCGTCGCATGATTTCCATGTGATATTGACAATCTTGTCAGGTTAACCATAGAGTCAATAATGTTTCCATATGGTTCTACTATCCGCACTATCATACGACTTCTCATAGTCACGAAAGGTGATTTGGTTTGTGCACGACCGATCCTTACGGAATCCAGTCTGTTGATCTCGAAGTTGGACGTCTACTGAGTCTTTCATCCGTTTCAGCAACACACTGTTGAAAACATTCAGTCACCCGAATCGCAAAGTTAATTGGATGTTTATTAAAGTTATCGTTTATTTTAATTACAAACAATTCCTTCCTCAATTTTATAAAACCACAGAAATTCCAATAACAAGTAAACATATGTTTAAATCAATACTGAATATACTCCAATGCAAACCGATTTAGTCCAACTGTAGAGAACGAGAACACCAGTGGGCACAATCAAATGCATTACAATACAAAATCACAGAATGTCATAGTAAAATCTGAAAACCATGAAATAAACACTTCATTTGCAAAATGTCAATCAATCGTCTCATACTTGATTGTTCCTTCGTTTCCATAACAATCATTCCCCACTCTTGTTATCTTTTCTTCGATCTTAAATCTCTACCACCAGACATTTCACTTTCGATTGATGACACATGCTATTTACATCTGTCGACTTCAGTAGTCCACACCACATAACTAAGATCTAGATTAATCGACAAACATAATAATTTCTACAGAATAATCAACGTTTTGATATTCAGAGTTTACTACTTTGTAACAGGAAAGTATCAAGTACCACCTCTGTTCGATTCTACTTATTGGCCTATTTTTATCACATTCATGATGTGCTAACCAACTTTAGTCGATTGATACTAGATTGTGAATTAATAGAACAACGATTATTCAAAATGATCATTCATGAATCTGTTGACTTAACATCTAAGTCAGTTTAAAAGACATAATATAGAAAATCAAACATCATCATAACTAAGGAAAACAAATGTTTTACATTAAAGTCCAACACCACAAGTTGATTATGGCAGACTTTGTACTTGGAAAAAGGATTTACAGTTCATTCTCTTCATACTTTATTTTAAATTATACATGACCACTTGAACTGACACATATTGTCATAAGAGAATTTGTTGTTAGTCTAGGACAAATAAAGTATGTTAATAAGTCATAACTAAAAGCGTTTAGTATTTTAGAATGATCGTTGTGCAGATTCATATAAATACATAGTTACAAAGAACGTTTGCTCATCGAAAATGTTGTTGAGGCTTATTTTGACAAAATAATGTCATAAATATATGTCGACCGATTTCTGTTCGATTCTCAGATGTCGGACCATTTGTTGAACAGATTATAGCATACACAAATCCACTTGGCATATTGTTCGGTTTGGGAGCAAATGGTGGAGGTGTAATAATGAGTAAGGATTTGGGAAGAACATGGATATCAATCAACCCATTCATGTATCAAAGAACTTTGAACACGTCAACTGAAATCATCACAGCAAGTGTCATACCATGGATTTCATTGACTGGTTCAATTGACAATACATTGTTTGAGTCATTTTGCAAGATGCGAGTGGCTGAACAATGGAATGGTAAGTAATGTATAGTAGTAACCAGATTTTCAAACATGATTTCTGTTATCCCACGTGAAAGTGTGCATCAAAACCTAAGAGTACGCAGTATTTCTTCAAGGTTGAGAGTCATGACAATTCCAACTGAACACATATCTCTTGTGATATGCACTAGATAACAATAACATTATGTGTGATGTTTAATTCTAAGATAGTTTCTTTTCCTGTGAGTGAATGATCTGTTATTCACACGGTTGTCGTTAAATAGTAACTTTATTAGTTCTTGATAGAGCATAACTTAGTCGTTGTCATTTAATGCTCAAATGAAGATGTCAACACTTTATTGATATTATTTTACTGAGGTGCACACAGATAAACTACAAAATTTTAATCTGAATTGGTTTATTTCTATTGACTGATCCCACCGTTTGCATGGTTATAAGGTTTTACTCATTGTATACTAATTTGACCTCGTTCTACTATCTAGTATTGTTTAAATAAGAGAGATTATTATTGAAAGTATTAGAGCGGATTGTCAGATTTCTGTTACATATATGTTTGGTTATACCGTGGATACAACACGCATTCGTGAATACATCGAAGTTTGTTTATAGTTCTATTATTAACATTCAAAATATGTCTATTAAGAATGATACTTGATTTGAAGTTTGAAAAGTGAGTTTATCGACTGATTGACCACCGTTCGATCTTGTTTGTTTTCATATACATCTCCTATAGTATGCATTAACGCAATTTATGCAAATGAACTTCTAATGGCAAACTGGACTAACACCTGTCCAAACATCAAACCCTTTTAACCGATCAATTACTTTCAGTCGGGATACAAACTTTGTTCAAATATTTGTGCCTTTTTAATGTGTTCATTTTATGTTGTGTGTAATAATGGAACATTTAGTTAATTTTCTATTCCACTACTTATCCTGCAATTAACATTTTTTTAAATAAAGTACATATTAGTCACATTTGCATCACATTCTGACCTAATGAAGAGTCGCTTAAGTAGGAATTTAACAGACTGTTGGTTGTTATTTAACTATTTTGTTGTGTAAGAACAGGATTCTTGTAAATTGCAGCATCAGTAATGTGTCAACATTTAGTTTCAAGAAGTTTGTTAATTTGTTTGATAATTACACTATAAGTGGTGACCATCGAACTATGACCCTTACTTTAGTGGAGGATAAATTAGATTTCCAACACATACTGGAGTCATCTGAAGCATAAGAATAATATTGAAAATTTTCCTCCAGACTAAGTCAACTGGATATATTGTCTCAGACATTTCGTTACTACATATCAATCTGTTCAGTAGCCGATGAACTTTACTCAATTATAAATCCAGCATTCTTCCAATTGAAAGAAGATAAAACGTTATTACGAACATTGGTTTTATTTTTTACATCTCTCTACTTAATCAGTTGATAACAATCTGTATCGCGCTACAGTGGCAAATCTTCTTCAATTTCGCATCTATCTGTGATACCACCAAGTTATTTGGCTGACGACTACGAGAGGTGAATTCGTTGAAAATTTACTATTTTAGAGAAATAAATATGCGTTTAATTTCTGGATACCCTGATGACACACAAAACCATGAAGTGAGCTCTGTGTTCCATAGTGCAGTGACTTTTACTGAGAAACGGCATTTCCAACTAGTTCAACAACTTCTATGATAAACGGATTTAGACAAATTATTTGTATACTCTCAATAAATAATGGAAAATTTATATTGTTTAAAGGTACATATATCAATAAACCTCATTATGACATCGATAGGTTAAGAAATTTATGGAAGACCGTTTTTAATTTAGTTCTTCATAGATAAAAAGCAGTAAAACAAGTGGTAATTGTAGCGTACAGAATTTTCCAACTGCTATAGCTAAGCACAAACAGAAATCAGTTTAAATTACTTGGATTAGTATTTATCAAAGATCACATTCATTTCAAACAAGTTGTATGATTGCTTTATGCCCTCTAACTTGGACAAACCAGTCGAAATTTGTTCTACGACACTCTTGTATTTTATTTGGAACACTATTTACTAAAGCTGCATAAGCACTACATTCTGCCGTAAAACTATCGATTACCGAAAGTGTTATAGCGTATATTTGCAGTTTTTCCTTGGATCTAAGCTCAGTCGGTTCCAAATGTTATATGTGTTAATCTCTTCACCGTACAATGAAGCATTCATAACAAAGTGGTTGCTTGAATCAGTGTTCACGAGGAACTGACTTACTAATGAATTTAAATTTAATACCGTGTGCCATATGTTTTGCTTAATAAGCAGTTAAATTGTAAGAGTGATCTTTTAAAAATATGCTTTTATCTCCATCCATGTCACTGATATTTATATAGCATATCTACCTGATGCATCAGGCTATCTGCCAAAAATTACTACAATGGTAGCCACTATTGATAGGAAATCGTGGCAAACTATGTTGCAAGTATCAAACTAAAATGTAGTACCTAATAGATTACTTCATGCAACAGAATAAACTATCGACAAGTTCTTCAAAACCAAAACACGCGGTACATCAAAGTTAAAGTAAATCGCAAAATGACCATTACAAAAGTATTTTAATTCACATCGTGCATTAAATAACTTTAAGAACTCCCAGCATATTAACAATACCAAGATACCGTTCTACTGATAATGTAACAACTTACATTCACATCAAAAAAGCAATCTAAATGAAAAGGATTACATATTTATTCGTTTTGAGATGCCCTTTAACTTGGACAAACCACTGGAAATTTATTCTAACGGACTCTCATATTTTATTTCGAACAATATTTACTAAAGCTCCATAGACACAATTCAGTGTAACAAACTATATTCTGCCGTAAAACTATCGATTACCGACAGTTCTTCCTTGAATCTAAGCTCACTTGGTTCCTCTCGAGGTGTTTAACTTCCGTTGTATTAACTGACGACACGGTATATAAACACTATCCTTGTTTAACATGGTTGCTCTGCGTAACATAATTTCTTAATTGCTACATTCTTCATTTGACCGATGAAAGAACCTAGAGTTATTTCATGGTGAAAAATACTGCAACTGTATATTGCGCCCAACATGATCAATAAATTTTTGCAACCACCAATGTTGTATGTGTTACATCTCTTCACCCTTTAGTAAAATATTCATATTAAAGTGATTGATGTATCGAGCTAACATTGCTCAATGAATAGTGATTGTTAATTGTAAAGTTCATGTCTAACAAATGTTATAAAATTAATGAAAAAACGCTTCATATAAAATGTATAATAAAGATATAACCATAGTTTATGTTACATATAACATGTAGCAACTATGTATGGAAATACAATTAGACATGTATTATCAGTGGAAACTCGTCCGTAATTATACAAAGCGTAGTAAAATATGGAACAATGAATTCCTGATCTATATATTATAGTCATCTCCACATTCTTCTTTAACCCAGTGATCACTATACAAACTCCTTTTGATATTTGAAATCTCCGATCATTATATGGAACAATGAATTTTATTGGTAATGAAGAAGTATTCCTATTTATCAAGCAGACACACAACTGAATGTCTCACTTCGAATTCATTGAAGTCTTTATTTTAATCTTAGTAAGAAGGTGTTCGAGTAAATTACACATGAAGCTCAATATCTGATTGAACTTCTAATCAAAGTGCACAGAATGAAAATTCTCTATTAGCCGTTATCTCATTGTAATGAAGGATCTATGATGTCTGTATGTAATTAGTGGATGTGTTAATCAGTAATTAATTAGATATTCTCCAAACATGTTTCTGGGTAATAGTTATAGTACAATGACGAGATAAGTTTGTTGATTCAAATGATTTTGATTTTAGACAAGTTCATAGAAACGGACTAAATTGTTTAATGACATTCATTGGTGCAATTAATTCACAAAATAATTAATTAGTTACGGATAAGCAGAAATAATATAAAATATTTGTCTACAATGAACATTGAGAAGAGATGCCCGATGTTCGGAAACTATTGATTCAGAAAGTAAATTGCTATAACTTTTATTATTATAAACAAAGCACTCGATATTTAAAGCTATGTGATATATACCAAGTCGTTTGAAAGTCAGACAATTCAATTAAATGATATGTAAATGGATTCATATATCAAGTCAAATTATATTTCTGAATGAGATAATCATCATGTTTAGACAATCAGTTTCATCAATCGTACAAGTGATATATATATATATATATATATATATATATATATATATATATATATATACAGTGTGTAAAATTGGATGATAGTTTGTCGAATTTAGTAAAATACATTATAATCTACAACAGTTTGTCCCATCGACCTATTGTAACATAAATGCAGTGACGCTTTTTGGAAATGAACAGTGATTTTTCATTATTTGATTAATTTCAAATTCACCGTATACAACCCAACTGAGTAAGCGAATTTCTGGATTACCAGTCAGTGTACGGTTAGTAAGCACATGCGTATATATAAGTACTTTGTGTTATCGATTAAATACTCATTAGTGTGTAGTGTGGCGTCGAGTCGCGGTTGACTATGATCACCACTAGAGGAAGACTACGTGCCAGTTAACCGATAAGATCCCCTGTATGCAGTTGATGGCTGTAGTCGAGATGTATTTGTTGGGGATCTCGTGGTATCGAAATAATACCGAGATCGTGCCAGGTTACAAGTGGGGTTACTGAGCGTAACCGAATTCGTGCAAGGTCACAATCAACGGAAGAATGTATGCATTTTGGTATAGTTAAACAAACAAGTACGGTAAAACAATCCCTGGTACAATTGGTTATAATAATAACTGTTTCTATTACACCGATGGCGTTCTCTTTATAAAAGGACGTCACTACAAGTGTCTCAAACAAATTTTTAAGGCAAGACTTGGAGTTTAAATAAAAGCGCATAGTCTTGAGAATGAGTTATAGAGTATCATAATCAATGGAATGTTCGAAAGCAAAACAATGATGGTTTTTAATTAAACGTTGCTTATGTGATAGAAGATTCATCACGTTGAATGTCATCAAAGAGAAGATTATGGATGGTCTAACCGAAAAGTATGTTTGAACACAAGTCAGATGTGCAGCTCAGTTTGCTAATAACTTAGAGATTCTCTGTTTCTCTTAAACATCAATGTAAAACCAGTGTCTCTCAGGGCTCACTCGCTCTCTTCACTTCGCTTTTGAGCTTTTTATTCCAAATGTCTGTCTAGGTAAACGAGTGCTTGAAATAAATTCACTCAAAGCAACCCGTAGTTGCATTCTTATTACCGCCGTCACACAAACAAAGGTAGATTAGATGTTGGAATATTTACGTTCATAGCATTTTCATACGACTATCAAATTTGGGATCAGATCAACGGATCACACAGTGTTATCTTCTGTAAATAGATTGGTAAATGTAAGAGGCTTGAGTGTAGGTACTGTAGATTGGTAAAGTATGATTCCTCATTGGTGATAAGATTCCTCATATTAAAATACGAGTGAGATGATTATTAGTACGTTACTCACGGTCATCGGCGTTGTTGCTGAACCTGTTGTCACAACAATGTGAAGACCACACTCAGAATTAAAATGTTTTTCATTGAAGAAAGATAAGAGTTCTGTTAGGTAAACATTTCAGAAACGAGAGAAATATCTTAAGTACAATATTCATAAATACCAAAGTTTCAGTAATTAAACAAAGATTTACTGAAATTGTCCTATCATCCGTGACTTATATATTTTATCAATAATGAAATTCTAACTACAATAGTGAGATACTTTTTTTGCTTCATAGCTTGATTTTGATGGATAAAGGCTTTAAAATCTATATAAATACCTGGTAACAATTTACTGAATAGTTTGTATGAAGGATCGTTCTAAAACGTCTTAAATACATCAAACGTCAGGAAATTGTTTTTTCTGATAAAAAGGAGATTGGTACTTTCTTCAAAAAGCAAAACTATTTCAGGTCAATTTATGTTGCATAGATTTGATCAAGCTGATTTTAATCGAGAAGTAGTTTTCCTAGATTTATCAGTCTGTCAGAGGTTACGAGATACGGTTTCTGACATTCTCGTTGCCTATCACTTATACTTGAAACGAGGAACCACTACAATTCACACAACGCAAAATAGGAACAAAACCGACTGGGACGAGTGAACATGTGTCCATTTGAAAACACGACAAACAAAGTCGAAAATGCCCTCATTTATATATTGGTTTGTAAATCCGTTTGACTATTGATTACATAGTAGCCATATATGGAAAATGCTCAGAATCATGACAAATACTGCACCGACTAAACACCACACTAAATTAGAAACAGAAGTAATGTTGAATAGAAATCACAATGAGTGAGAAATGGAATTTTGTCTTCTCATGCCGTCGTATCACGGTTTGCACATATTTTATACACAATAAACACTTTCTTCGCGTTTTTCGATTGTAGAACTGAGTGAAATATGTCTTGCAACAAAGTACAGGAAATGTTCTATATTCTAGCTGATAATTCATAAATCATGCACACCTAAACTGCCTTCATGTATTTCAACGAGATTTTATTCATCAAAACCAAGAACTTACTTAAACGATAATAGAGCACGACTAAATCTCAAACTGACTGTCTTTAGATCCTTGAGAACTGGAGTACCTCAAGAATCAGCGCTTGTATAAATTCTCTCTCATATATATGTATATACTTACGAAAACCATAAGGGATTTTATTCAGGGAATGAGACTTGCAACATATGCAGATTAAATGTCTAGTTACCAAAAGAACTTTCGATAGAAGATATAACTTATCTCTTAATATTGGATATTTGAAATTCATACGCAAACCACAATCCAATAAATCTCGTTCTAAGCTCATACCAAAGGCTTCGGAATGAATGTTAAGTCATCTTAGACATAGAAGGTTCCATCAGATCTTATTATTATAATAAGTTCTTACTTTGAGTTTGTGAGCAATTTAGTTTCTTACATTTCCAAAGGACGAGTTGGTTCTTACGGACTTTGCCCGTTCAAACTTATTATTCTTTTAGACGGATACACAAACTAATTGGTCGAAAGCTTCCCATACTCCACATGCTAGTTCAGAAATCGTCGATAATGTGAGAAATTAACATGCATTCACAACCGAATTTCATAACTTCTGAGAGACTCATTCTTCACAAAGAGTGGAATTCTGGACAATAAATGGTTTTAATAACAAGTAGTGGGTATCAACATGAATTTCGTCAGATTTTATCTTTTATCTAGTGATTGTACATTTAGAGCCAATCCTCGGTCCATTTCAAGCAATTCCAATTTATTTGAAATACTAGATCATACGCAATGTTGACAAGATAGAGCTTCCGCCTGCATGTTTATAAGTTTTGAATTTAATAATACCTGAGCACGGAGACCAATCGATCTATTGAAATGACTTCACAATAGTAATGGACTGTGTTTACCCTTAATGAAAATATTTTCCAGACGATATAAAATCAGTTGACTTAGTAACTCTGAAATAAAATGTTTTTACATTAGGTGAGGTTAGTTTGCTCATTATAAAAACCTGTTAGAAGCACCAATTTTTAATAAGAATATACATCGGACATCCACATTACTTTTTTAACAATTTATCCCAACAATTTCAACAAGAGATATAAACTCGAGGTCTGTAGAATTGTCGTTAACTATTAAATGAGATTGTTCGTCTGTCATTGTTTTCAGTGACTTCACAATCACGTACCTTTACAAGTTTTCAGTTTGATCTAACATGGTCAATAACTAGCACTTACATATGTTTCACATTTGGATGTCTCTCTTGCAACCACTTAGAATGGAAAAACGTATAACACTTTTCTTTTTGTAATTATAGTGACTTTAAAACAGTATAATAAAAATAATAACAATAATAATAATAATAATAATAAATCTTCACTCATTAAGTAAAGCATTTACTCAAATGCATGGATTTTGTGCCGTCATTCCACGACAGAGGATCTAATCTAGGCCTACCATCAATCGTGGAGTCATTTTGCTTAGCACTTTTACAAATCTTTACATTACATCACCATGAATTTTAAAATTTAGCAAACTATTCACTGATACCGAACACACTTCGAAATTCTGTTCTAAAATTGGCGAGTAACTGACCAAATGTCTTGATTTTCAACTGTTTTGGTACTCAAATGATATTCGTTTTCATCAAAGCAAAAGAAATTGAAGTTTCACAAGCATATAGTTGATTAAAAATAGGTAAATTGTTCGATGAATAATGAGATAACAGTTTGAATAGAAATTCGCTGACAAATACATAATCGTATACAACCTGAATCTAACACGACTTAAATTCACCAGTGTTTAAGCTATGTTCGTATTTCCGGTCCAGATAATTGATTGGTTAAAACAGCTTGATTTTCGGGCATGTGTAAGTCCAATTAGCTAACAGCATTTGGTTGGCATAGATTTGGTTGATGCAAACTAAAGGTAAATTATATGAAAACAAGTAAGATTATACTGTGCTGAACGTAATCAAGTATGAGACTCACTTACTGATCTCCACGTTATGTGTTGTTTGTAATGGACAAACTTTATATCCAAATCATCAAAATTCTATTTAATTAAGCTGTTTAAGTGAACATTTATATTTGTTTGTTCATTATCACAAATATTAAACATTTGTCATTTGTGTTTATACACTATACCATGTTTGTACCAATGCCACTGATTTTCTTCTATGCTTAATAAACTAACTAGATTATCTAATGGATAAACACTGTTTATAAACATCTACCAATTTAATTTTAAAAGAGTGAATGAATCTCAAGCTGTATAAACAATGGAAATTTGAGAATTATATCACTTGTGTTTGTAGATTATAAAAGTGCGTCATCATTCAGTTATCAAACTTAACTATAGAATTTGACTCGAATAGCGACATAAAAAGATGGGAAGTACGACGAACTGCATTACTGACAGTGTGAGCAATACTGTTTACCAAGAAAGAAATACACACATTGCATTTATTTGTAAAGCGATTTGTAAAACATTTCATTGAATACACCATTTGCACATCTTCCTTGGATTATTTTTTACAGTCTTTTTTGTTCTTTCATTCCTGTTACTACTCCAGCTGTTTTTGTTTTTCCTTCTTTGCCATTCATCTTTCTCTTCTGTCAGTAAGGATCCTACTTTCAGTTCCTGATACATACTAATTATATCTGTCAATATAATTAGAACACAACACACCATATCACATACAATGGCGAAAAATCTTGTATGGTTGCACGAACATTTTTCAGTTAGGTTCAGCAAATTCGAAGGGAGACCTTGAACATTTAATTGATTGTGATCATTGAACTAACACATATGTTGATCTTATGGCCATTTATGAAATCCTTCCAAATCTACCACGATCCTCAATACAGAAGAAGCTTTAGTTATCTAATAGAAGAAACCTGAACTTTGTATACAACAGGAGTATTTCTTATCTTAGTACTTACCGCGTCCTTAACTCATTGTAATTATCTGATTTTCATTTCACAAATGTCAAATTTTTTATCAAATTATTCATAATCGTATCTCACATTTGTTTCACTTAATCCTTCTAGCACCTTCATCTATAAAAGCAAAATATTTCAGATATCTTACTCTACTCTGACTAATCCAATATCAGTTTATTCGTTTTAAGTTTTAGTTTATATTTGTGCATTCAATTAAACAGAGTGATGATATTTTCGCAGAATTGTGTAACTCCATATCCCTTACCATTCCATTGTTCAGCCACTCGCATCTTGCAAAAGGACTCAAACAGTGTGTTGTCAATTGATCCAGTTGATGAAATCCATGGTACGACACTTGCTGTGATGATTTCAGTCGACGTATTCAAATTGTTTTGATACATGAATGGGTTGATTGATATCCATGTTCTTCCCAAATCCTTACTCATCATTACACCTTCACCATTTGCTCCTAAACCGAACAATATTCCAATTGGATTTGTGTATGCTATGATCTGTTCAACAAATGATCCCATGTCTAGAAATTAAAAGATTTGTATCAGAGTATTACTGAATAGAATGTTTGATGAATAAGTTCTTTTTAAATTCGTACTATGAATATCTACAATCAGTGAAATTTGAAATAACTTGAATGTTAACACACAAAGTGAAAATCATTTCTAACTGAAGCTCTTTTCTCCATAAGCCAGAATCAATTTGGAAGTCTTATTCATTTACACAACGTTTAAGCTTGTGGAGACTTCATTGAATTCCAATCGCTGAGATTATTTCAAATATCATTTACATATATAATGACTTCTTTATACTCGGCGCCCAATATCTGTCAAACTAAAAAGGAGACTATTTCTCGGTTTTATTAGAGTAAAATGTCATTACGTTGAGCGGTCAGATATTATGTAATCAGTTACTGAATTCGGAGGCAATTTTGTGGAAGTTCGAATATTGGCTACAGCCCCATGTGATGAAATAGTGGTTGTTCATTAATGCACGTCCACAATAAAACAGACGATCATGAACATTTAGGAATGTATCTGACTGATGACTAGGCAACGGCACAGCAGGATTTTGCAATGCCTTGTAACGAGGCAAATCACATGGATTTGAATACAGAAGTTTACATCAAGATTAATGATTATTATCTACCACAGCATCATAATTTGACATTTATTGCTGGTCCATTTCATATGATTAACCTTAATATGCATGAACGGTACTGTCGGAGATGAAACAAAACTCATCGATGAACACTTATATGAAAAGGATACTCAATAACATTCATTAACACATGATAGTCCTATGACATGTCCAAAACTACTCACTTAAAAGGGGATGTGTACATCAACCCATTATTCAGTGAAAGATAGTAAATTTATTTAGAATTCACCTTTGTAGTGTTTTATAGAAGTACTCAAGTGTGTATATTCAACCATGAGAAAGTTAAACCTCCTTTCCTCCCTTAACTGTTCAAAATCAGGCTGCTGTGTCGATATTAAACCTACCATAAAAAGATTAGTTTTAATTTACTTTCTAAAGTAGCGTGACTATTGTCTTTTTAATTATCTCGGTTATTCCATATCACTTTCCTCCTATTAACAAGGTAATTTACGTTTAAACTGTTCAGAATGCATTGTGCTAATATATTGTAAACTTCTAAATAACAAATTAATGGATTTTGATGTGTATATTTTATTCAGACTTTATTACTATTGATATTATAAGTTGGTTGGTACCATGTGCTTAAGAGTTATGCAACTAACGTTATGCCATATTAACATTCATTATTGATACTGGTCATCATTGACATAAATACACGACGATCGTAGATTTGCAATCTTGTTTGAACCTCCGAGATGCTAAGTATTTCACTATAATTAGAATATCCAGAATGTTATTTACTATTCAATTCATAGATAACTAGACCAGAAGAAGTTCAAGCAAAAATAAACCGTACTTGCAGTGCACAGAATGTTTCGAGAATATTTAAAATTTTGTCCAAATGCATTTGATTTTATGTCTGACCTTCATCTTTGCATAAGTAAATTGTTCCTGTCCTGATATTATAGTACCTTCAGTCAGTTGACTATTGGTGGCATTACAGCACTCAGTTATAGGAAATTCTTACCAAAAGTGGAAAATTCGGAAACATTTACAAATTTTGGTAAAATTATCAGTCTGTCTAGTAAACTGACGAGATTCTCATCACCTGAACAGACTATGTTGCATCGCATAGTTGTCTTGCCTGAATAACCAACAACCTTGACCTAAGGTGAGAAATTTCGATTTTTCTAAACCATCTTGACCAATTTCGATAAATGTCTTAATTACTGTGAATAAATCTTGACAATCATATTATTTACAGTACACTCTAATAACAAGTTTGTCACTGTATGTTTCCATGCTAAGAAATTATCCATACATTTTTCAACACAACTGGTTTTTAAAATCAAGTTGGGTTATGCTGTTCTCATCATAGTTGTTAGATTGCTTTCGGTCAAAAAGAAAAATGTGAAACAGTCATCAAAAAGTGGATTTTATTCATAAACTGGTGAATAAATTATGACATAAACTTATTTACCATGTTGCATTCATAAATCGGTAGTCATAAATAGCTTTAGACTAATATACTCAAATAAAACTCACATGAGTATGTATGGTAGTCAAGTTCGACATGTATGCAAGACCTAAATTTGCAAAATTTTGATTATACACAGCCACTAAAGACAGAAATGTTACGTTCATACAGTTTAAAAACAACTTCGATTAGAACTGGGTGTTTCTCAACAGATGTCCGAGACGATTTGAATTTCAATCGAAAGATAGCTGCGTAGCCTTGACCAAAGTATAAATGACCAGTCTACATAGAGTGTGGTGGTCGGTGTTCGATATACTCCTTAAACTCCGTATACAGTTCGTCTCGGTAACTGTCCCTAAATAACGCTCCAACGGTATACTAATCAGAAGGCGAATGCGAAGTGTTAATTACGTTTATTATGGGACCACACACAGATATGCAAAATTACAGATGCGTTAAGCAAGCATGAAATAGTTGTGCCGAAAGGCAAACAGGCAAGCGAGCGGGCGAGAGAGAGCAAGGGCAAGAGCGAGCGCTCGAGCGAGCGAGCGAGTGATGAATATGAATAACATGGACATAGTGAAATGAATGAATCATCGAGTCAATTAAGCGGTTAATAGTAAAGCTAGGTCGTTTCCCACGTTGTCACAGAAACCAATAATCTATTCTTGAGCACACTGTATCTCGTAGCATCTCAAATGTACTTTTTTAGTCATGTGTGTATATTATTCATTTAATGTTAAACCCGAGATAGCTATGCGTTACAAAAACAACCATATTTGCAGTTTAAAAATCCCCATATAATAATATTTTATACTGCTGAATAACAATTTTTGACAAGCATTTGAATATATTGGTTACATTTTGCATGTGTATACAGTTTTTATTGTTAAGCCCACTTGACGAGCAGCACAATAACCCATTTACATGACTACTTTACTTACACATCCAACTATTTTTTTGTCATCATTTTAAACTGCTCAACTACAAAGAATGTACAGGTAAAAATAATTAACGCTTTTAATGGATTAGCAAAATAACGCAATTACATTGTTGCAGGAGTATAGCATAGTAGTGAAATGAAGTTGGATGGAACAGTCAGAAAGAATTATTTTTTTTATTTGAACAGTTTAGATCATGAGTCAATTGAATCTAGCGCACCATGGAAACCTGTTAATGTCTAACTTCAACTAATCCACGAAATATTTGTAAATCTCAATTGATTATATTGCCTAATGACTAAGGCTTAATTAGAATTCATCAATGTTGGTTCAGCTGACCTTCCTATAGAAATAATGTCGTTATACTAGTGTACTGGCAGTACTACATTCGTCTATCGAACTATATGACAAAATATTGAAACATTCTGAATAAGTTTTGCATGTACTATTTTGTTAGACAAATTAGTGTTCATTGGATGAAATTTCCTATACGAAATCATCTACTTAAACCGTATATTTGATAAAGCTTAACAAGCGTTTACGAATACGTGGACGATAATCACATAATGATTATTAATCTTAAATGAATTTTGATGGCTTCATCACTTGACCTTTACCATGGAAATAAGGAATTGAAACAAAGGAATTTAAATCAAATTTTGGATGGCCCTGAAAAGGGCCTTTACTCGTTCTCTTAACAGTTCCGAATTTCATGAACAAAGGCGTTGCTATGATTCCGTTATAGCGCCGCATATGGGATAGAGAATTCCATAGGCAAGTGGTGATGGGTCGTAAGCACAAAATAAATGAAACATTGCTTCGCATGGACAAAAAATTCAGGCACATCCATCAGCAGTTTCATGTGATGGTTGCGCAAGATTGCAAATATCACAAAATCTGTTGTCATACGCGTTTTCGTCGTTGTTGTCGTCTCGTCCAGTGAACTCCTCTGAGTTAATCGAAACAATTTCTTCCTCGTCATTGCTTAACGTTGCATCCATATCGACGTTATTCTGATAGTTGGTAACTCACAAAAGATGAAGGAAGGACAGTGAGTGTTCACGGAAGTCTTTTATGAAAAATTATAATAACACTAATCAAATTACCTCATTCGTCTACTCGGCTGTGAGGAACCGCTAGGTGTTCTAAGACCATTTCTCCAACATACGAATTTAATATACGGCTTCCGATCTCTATGGAAATGAGAATCTCTAAACACATAATGGCAGTACTTAGCTCTTTCATAAGTTCTAACGGCGCTCTTCAAGTGATTGAGACGCTACGAGATACAGTGTGCTCAAGAATAGGTTATCGGTTTCTGTGACAACGTGGGAAGCGACAGAGCTCGTGCTTTGCACCTTACTACCGCCCGTAATTGGAAGAAAATGTGCTCCATCGTCAGGTCCTGACATTTTATATCAAGTTTAAGAAATAAACGACCAATTATAACGAACTCAAAACTAGCTATTTGATTGGACGGAACAGAATGAAAATTATTGGAAGATGGGGATGAAAAATTTTTTCGAATGAGACGAAAAGAAATTTCACTCGAAAAAAAAATAAATAATGGCCGTGCAATTAATCTTAACCTAGCTTTACTATTAACCGCTTAATTGACTCGATGATTCATTCATTTCACTATGTCCATGTTATTCATATTCATCACTCGCTCGCTCGTTTATTCACTCACTCGCTCGCTCGAGCGCTCGTTCTTGCCCTTGCTCTCTCTCGCCCGCTCGCTTGCCTGTTTGCCTTTCGGCACAACTATTTCATGCTTGCTTAACGCATCTGTAATTTTGCATATCTGTGTGTGGTCCCATAATAAACGTAATTAACACTTCGCATTCGCCTTCTGATTAGTATACCGTTGGAGCGTTATTTAGGGACAGTTACCGAGACGAACTGTATACGGAGTTTAAGGAG